GTAGTTGTGATGTACTACATCATACCCCTTTTTAGATTTTTTTTTTTGCAACATTTGAAATTACATTGAGGGACCTCAGCAGATCTTAATCAGTTAGAAGGATGCTGCATTTCTTTCTTCAAAACTCAATTTTCAGCATTTGCCTAAACACCTGTTCAGAGTTCATCAGTTTTGGTAACATGACATTTTCTTTCCTTGTGTTTAGGTGAAAACGTACTGCATAAATTCTGCTGGTGCCGATGTAATACAACATATGATTGACAATTTTGTATTATAGCTAGAAATAGCTTTATTTGATTTCTGTGTACTGGCACGCTTTTACGAAACCAGCTTTATTTTTTTGATGTATTTACCGAAAGTAAAGAGAAATAGAGTAGAAAGGATAAATATTTGTCATGTAACTTACACATTGAGGCACATAAGCATTGACTAAGAGTTAATACTACTAGTTATTTTTACTTTGGTGATTTGCCTTTGGCACGTGTACATCAGCATCTGAAATTGCAATAAGAGATTTCATCGAGTCATTACAATTGTTATAAAAACCGACCTGGACAATGACCCCAAGAACAAAGAGGGTCAAATGGTCGAACCGGATCGAACCGCAAATAATACAACTAAATACAAAAATCATATATTAATATATATCCTATTAAAATTGAAATAACTATTTTAATACCCATTTATCAAATTAACACTAAATGACCCTGTTATGAAACTAATCACCGGATTGAAATGCTGAAATTATATGATACAATAATGAAGTATTTGATCACAAACAAAAAAATGAAAGAAAACAAGAAAATATGGCAGAGGAATTAGGAGATTTTATTGTACCAATAATAATGGAGAAACATACAATTGATCTTAAAGTTCCAGTAATATCCTTTCTCACATTACTAAATTGTATAAAAGAGCCTAATATTTATAGGGAGCATGTAGAGGATGTTCAAACCCTTCTAGTTGAGTTGTTGATGAAATAGGATATAAAAAAATCGAATCCAAAACAAATTCTAACTCCCAATGGATTTTCAAAATAGAACTTCAACTTGACATAAGACTCCAATAGCATTCCAAACTGAATTCTTTTTGACGTGCACTTCAATTAGAATTCTTCAATTATTTCAACAAGGAATTCGGGTCACATCCAAATTTTAACAATCTCCACCTTGACACGAATTTCGCTGCAATGAACAAAACTTCAAAATATTTTTCACTTGAAGAAGAAAATCCGTCTACAAGGATTGAACTGACTCTTCAACAATAAACAAAATTGATTTCTCCAACCAAACACAAAATACTCCGCCTCTTCCAATGAATCCAAGCACTACTCTGTAGAATTATCTCAGATTCTCAAAAAATTATAATGATTTTAAAATTAAGCAAATTGGGCTGTAACACACCATAAAACAGAATCAAACACAAATGCTTTTAAAGAAGGTCCATTACTAGATTGTACACCTTCTACTACGCTTAAAGCATGCTCAACAAAATCAGCATCCACATACCTTTTACTATTGACCCGTCCCTAGCAGTTAAATACAATGGCACCGCAGGTGATGGCAAAGTGGAATTATCCATATCTCCTGAACTCCACTGAGCAGTATTTTTCAAATCCGACCTTTTTCAAGCTCCTAAAGGTATTGTACCAAATCGAATGTCCACCACGGTACTGAACTTACGCTGATTGACTCTTCTAAATTATGCATGACCCTACAAGATGTATAATTGAGACATTTTCTATCCCTCCAACACAACCTAGGCACCCTTACAAACCTTCAAAACTCCACCTCAACCAGAGAACTTATAACCCTTTAAATCAAGAATAGACATTGAGATAAGATTTTTCTTCAAATTCGAAACATGTCGAACCGGCCAGTGTTCTAATTGTCCCATCCAATAACTTCAATCTAACCGTACCAATTCCAGCAACCCGACCAACATCGGAGGACCCAGCACCCTGGCAGGGAGCGCGGCCGCACGTGCTGGGCTCCATTGGAACAGTGTTGGGGAAAAAGGAGATCGGCATGGGAGAGCCGAAGAGGTGAGGGTTTAGCTTCGCTGCTGGTTTCCGTTTCTTCTTCACGAGGTTCTTCTCTTCGCCACTGGCTTATGCTTCACTTTGGTTTCCGTCATTGTGAACACATAAAGTTACACAAAAAGATGAGAGAAGAATGATGAAGATAGATAATTAAATTGGAGAAGAAGAAGGATAATTGCAGTTCCCATTATTTTCTTCTGTGTGTGCTGAGAGAGAGAGCAAATTTGGAATATGAACAAATAGTGAATTATGGGTACACCATATAGTCAGAAAAGTAGTCAGAAATTTGTGGAATAAAATAGTGGTATATTCGGCCCAACAGTCATTTTTTTAAATTTTAATTTCCATTTAATCATCCTTAGACAGGGGTACTGAGGTTAGTTTTCTTTCATTTTCTACTTTTTGGACAGACAAACACAATCCCTTACGAATAACTCTTGATTAACTTGGAATATATGCAAATCATGTTTACTTAATTATAATATAATAGCATTCAAATATGCATGTTCCTCTTCCTTTTTTTTGGTAATTGGGTCTTTTGCCTGGGTTGGACTGAAACATCTTTTTTTTTTTTTTTAAATTGGGCTTCCTCTTATGATAGCTGATTGGTCAATGGTCATCGTCTATCTGGGCTGAACTTCTGTGTTGGGTCCGCCACTGCTGACAATTTGTGTTGTCTCCCATAACTACGACACATTTGGAAATGGTTTCATATGTAGTAAACTAATCCTTATTAGGACACATATGAAAGACACAAGCTGAATCTAGAATTCAATAATCCTCTAGTTTAGACTCGATGTCAGAAATAGCCAAGAGATTTCCCTCATTTACAATGTTCTCTACGAGGTCTGTTTCACCTGAAATCTCTGATTGCTTCTCATATCAACTTGTAGCCAACATTTCTTTATTCTACAATTTGTAGCAATCCTTCTTCAAGCGTCCCTTCTTATTGCAAAAGTTACAAATTTGATTCCTGAACTTAGACTTCGATCTGTCCCTTCCAGAACCACCATGAGCAACAATGTCTTCTCCATCTCTAGCCTCTGACACCAAATGCCTCATCTTCTCTTTTGAAAACAAAGCATCTTACACTTCCTCTATGGTGAGAGTATCATCATGATTATACAAGATTGTGTCTCTAAATGAAGAAAACGAAGAGGGTAACGAACATAATAGGATCAATGTCAAATCTTTTTCATCATACTTTACTTTTAAAGTTTTCAAATCAGCAGTTATCTCTTTAAATACAGTTAGGTGATCACAATGATTCTCCTTCTGCCATTCGATTAGAGTATAAACGCTGCTTGAGATGCAACTTGCTTATTTGACTTTTAGTTATGCACAATTGCTCCAACTTCAACCCTAAAGCAGCTGTTGAACCCTCCTTCAAAACGTCTTGAAGAATGGTATTCGATAGATGAAGATGAATGTAAGAAATTGCCGTCTCATCCTTCCATAATTTCTCCTCTGCGGTCAAAGTTGCGGGTATCTTGTCAATTCTCACCAACGCATCATTCAAATCCTGTTGTGCTAGTACTTCGAACATCTTAATTTGCCATAGCGAAAATCTAGTGTTTCGATCCAAAAGTGAAATGTCATACTTTATGGAAACCATTACGAACAAAAAACCTCGAACAAATCAAACATTACGCTATTGTGAAACTGCTGAACTTAGGCTCTGATACCACTTGTTATGAAACAACCACCGAATTGAGATGTTGAAATTATATGGCACAATAATGAAACATTTGATCACAAGCAAAATAATAAACAAAGACAAGAAAATATGACGGAAAAACTAGGAGATTTTATTGCACCAATAATAATGGAGAAATATAAAATTGATTCTAAAGTTCCAGGAATATATTTTCTCACATTACTAAATTGTATAAAAAGCCTAATATTTATAAGGAACATGTATGGGATGTCCAAATCCCCTAGTAGAGTTGTTGATAAAGTAGGATACCAAAAAATCGAGTTCAAGACAAATTCCAACTCCCAATGGGCTTCCAAAATAAAACTTCAACTTGATATAAGATTCCAATAGCATTCCTAATTGAATTCTTTTTGACGTACACTTCAATTAGAATTCTTCAGTTATTTCAACAAGGAATTCGGGTCAATCCAAATTCTAACATGCCCATTGAAAATTAATAAAGGAGAAATTACCTCATATATATATATATATATACAGAAATGATCTAATGAGTACCGGTGCCCATCTTATCCTAAGCA